CAGATTTCCAATTATATAGCAGGGCTATCTCTATTTTCTCTTACTAATCTCATGGTTTAGATGCCATTATGTGTTAGCACGTTTGGAATCATCAAAACTATTCAACGCTAAAATTATAATATTTAGCTTTTGAGGAATTGGATCTAAGTATAATATGAAATGGCTTGTAGCGCTCCTTTGTAAACTAAAGGCTCACAATATGAATGGAGTGGTATCTTATATCAATCGAAAAAAGGTAAGGTCCTCGGCAATGTAGAATATGCGTGACATGGAATTTCACGAATAAATAATACAAATCCTAGTCTTAAATTCTAACACAAATTTCACCATTCATCTGCAGATCTCGATGAGCAAATTTTACTTATTAAAAGTAAAAACTTCACAAGCAATTGAAACGCACATGTCGACTTGATTATATGATAGGAACAGTAGTAATAGGTTTTTACCCTTTCATCTGGTACAAAAACTGACACCTTTATACAAGGGATCATGTTTGCAATAACCACAACACAAGCAGTCAAAATGCAAACAAAAATAAACAACTCTGACAATGATAAGCACTGTCCTTGAAGTTGATAGGTCCACACCCGAGACAGCTTTTCTTAGAGCCTAGTCTCCATTGGTGTTGGACCAGATGACACCAAAAGGCGTACAACTCAAAAACAGCGCACTATCAGAGTATTGAGAGCTCGGGGTAAGAATTTACACTATGAGACCTCCTTTACCAGTGGCAAAATATAGTAATAGGTTTTTACCCTTTCAACTGGTACAAAAACTGACACCTTTATACAAGGGATCATGTTTGCAATAACCACAACACAAGCAGTCAAAATGCTAACACAAATAAACAACTCTGATAATGATATGCACTGTCCTTGAAGTTGATTGGTCCACACCCGAGACAGCTTTTCTTAGAGCCTCGTCTCCATTGGTGTTGGACTAGATGACGCCAAAAGGCGTCAACTTCAAGGACAGTGCTTTCATTATCAAAGTTGTTTCTGCAGTACACTTAAAGAAAAACCCGTACATTTTTTTAAGGAGTTTATTTGTATTAAAAAAACACTTTAGCTCGCGTCAAAAATCACAATCCGGTGACACACGACCTACGAGACGTCTTACAAGTCCTGTAGTATTTTGATCGAGTCCTTTTCGTGGGGTTCGCGGTGGCGAGATGTTACCTGGCTCACCTGTTTTCCAGGTCGTGAGTTCGATCTCAATCCTGTAGATGCCTGTATATTTGGGGTTTACATGTTCTCCCCGTGGTCGCGTGTATATTTCTTCAGGTCCTCCAGTTTTTCCCTCCACATTTAGAAACACGTGTTTAAAGTATTTGGCTGCTATACATTTCCACACGCTTCTGAAAACGATACAGTATAGCTCAGTGGGCCTTACCTGGTAAAATAAAGTTTAGTTTGATAGTTTAGTGTTCCTGTATGTACTTGTTTTGTTATTCCGTTATTTAAGTGCAAATGACTCCAACCGCGAATCCCTGTCGGAAGCTCTCGTAATTATTACATTTTGGTAATGAGCAGGCGAGAGCTTATCGAGACGCGTCTCTTTGGCAAGGGAGATCTGGGAATTGAGAAAAATAATCACAGTGGGGGGCGAATTGTGAATATAAACTTGGTGCATGCCGTGAAAGTGTAAACATTATTTCTATATATAAAAAAAACATTACAACCAAATTATCCCTAAAAGTTAAGCATGTCATGGATCTGTAAAAGATTTGGAGACTAGATGTCTTTTCAATGTCTCTTCTCAAAACCATATTCTGTATTATTGTGATTTTGCAAGCAATCCATTTTCCACGTTTTTGTCTTTGAGTTACAGGTGGACGTTATTGCTCTTAGTTCCCCAAGGGAACATATATCAGCTGACTTCCACAACAACAGGGACACCACGATCCTCTGGAGGCCTCGGCAAGGACACATTAAATTCCCCCCCAGCCCTCGACAGACTGACTGTTGGGGAAAGTGTTGTTGGCGAGTACCTACAAAGACCAACACAGCACAAGAATGGGTGGTAAGCACCTCACAAGGTTGTCTTTATCCCACCAATGCTGACGTTTACAGACCACACTAGGTACTCAATGAAGGCTAAGCCGAGTTAGGGTAAGCGCAGGACCAGTTCAGATATTCGTCACCAACGTTGGCTTTGAGCAGGAATCAAACTCGGGTCACCGAGTTCGTAATGCAGTGCGCTAACCACTGAGGAAGTACGGGGACATACATACACGTGGTGGAAGAGAGATGCGGGTGTTTTCATGGCACAAACACATCACTTCAACAGTAGGGCTGGAATGCAGTGCCCACTTCAAAGCACAGCGGTTGACATTGCAAAGCTTTATTTTTTTTATTTGAATTCTTAGGGCTGTACGCAAACACGACAACAATTTTGTACGCTTTTAATCACCCCAAATTAACTCGCACAAACGCGAAATAAATCAAGGCGAAACACAACTGGGCCAAACGTTACACTTTATTCAATTTTTTTCTTTAATATAATTTAGTTTGGTTATCACAACAATTACATAATGTACAACTGAACTGACGACGTCGATTCGTGGCGGCTACATCTGGGAGTGTCGAGAAACATTGAACCTCGAGAGAGAAAAGTGTCGCGGATGCTGCGACCACATGGAGGGTCACGCCGGGGAGAAATGATGCCGCGGGTTCAGCGCAATTCAAAACCTAAATTTTGATCGGCACCCAAGCGGACGCTGTCCCGCATGTGCGCATGAACAACAAACATCCAATTCGGCGTTGTACAGCGCCAATTAACGCCAATGAGTGGACAGCGGGATGTCGGCAGCAGGTGAGCTGCACTGGAGCAGAGGTACTGTGCTTCTGGCTCGGCCGGGTGGGAGCCTCCTGCCGCCTGTGTCACGCTGGTGTTTGTGGGGGGGGGGTGAGCCGCGTGAGTGAACGGAAGGGGATGCATGGTGGCGTGTGGCTACCGATGCCTGCAGCTGATGATTCGCAAAAAAAAAAACTCACTTTAACGTCCTTTATTTCACCAGTGAAAGCCAATGAGATTCACGACCTCTGTTCCACGAAGAGTGCCCGGATTGGCTTAAGTTATAACAAAAAAACCAGGTATTGCAATGTTTTTTCGTTTGTCTCTCTTTTGTTTATCTCTCTCTCAAAATGAGTTGGGTTTATTTTGACATAAATCTTGAAAATGTCACAGGGAAAAATTACCAAGCAGCTGCAAGAATAGAACCGTTGACTCCGTTGAAAGTGGCTCTGTGGCGAGTACGCCGACGCAGCTGTTACGCAGGGCCACGCACGCACTTCAACGCAACAGAGGCAATCCCCCCCAACTGTGCATCAGAATTTTTGTTTAAACTTTACAAAAAAAATCCTAAAGGAAATAAGCACAAGTTGGAGAAAAACAACGGCAATAATTCAACACCAACATGTCCCAGAGGTATCCAATGGAACAAAATGTTGACTAATTTTTCCATCTATCTTTAGGTTAACGTGGAGGCTGTGGATCACTCACTGCAACCGGTGCGTAGTTGCACTCAGGACTGCCCGCTGTGCTCTTGTGCACTACTCGGCAGGTTTGGATGGATTTGATCAGTCTTACTTTAATTCCAACACCCACTTTGCTGTTTGTTTCTCACCTAATGTTCAAATGAAAATATTCAAATTGCCATTTGATGCCGAGAGGCACAAGATTAACTCAGCGTATTAAACATAGTTCTACCCGACAGCGCAGAGATGAACCCATGTGATTAGATGTTAATATGCTGTCCCTTGTCTACATCTTTACAGCACCTTGATCACACCATTATTAACCTAAAAAAAGTATAAGTGCCTCCATACAGCATCGAATGAATAATGCGATAGATCACAGAGTGCAGCACCAATCTCTGAATGGATGTAAATCCATACAATATGCCTGTGATGACTTGATGGAACACATTTTTTTCCTTTCGTGATTTTCTCAAATGTAGTGCCTGCAGAACCTATGCCATGCTGAGCTGTGTATATGGTGTGGGAATTTTCTAAGCAGAAGACAAATCGAGGAAAACCTTGCCTTCCCCCCGAAAAAAAATGCCAAACAAAAAACACAAAGAAATCAGACGCACAAAATAAGCAACGCAGCTAACGATGAAATGGACCATCATGCAAAAAAGAGAATGTCCACATAGGCATATTATTAAGCAGCAGGAGCCACTGCTGGACAACAAGAAAAACGTTTCTAAGAATTGCAGCTGGGTGCCGAGCAAATCATTTGCAAACTAATTCCATGCAGATTGTTGCGGCGTCTGCGCATGACAACGCTGCTGCGTTACAGCATGCAGATTTAGGTCACGGGCCTGTGCAGCTGAGACTGCGACGGTAGGAACCGCAAAACCACTCTCAACGAGTGGGCGCGGCACGTGCACTGCCAGAGGATATTGCTTTGCAGTCATTTTAAATGCCTAGAGAATGGCAGCGCTGGATACTGGAGATTTCCGCTGAATTTGAGCGACCAGAAAAAGCTCCTTCTGCTGGGCAGCGACTCCCACAAGCATTACCTGCGCGAGTCGACTTTAATACTGAATCTGCGGCATCTAATCTCATTGGCGTCTCAGCAGTATTAGCTGTTCATGTTATTAGACGTTATATATATTTGTTAAACTCTTGTATATAATATTGAGATAAACCTTTTTCAAAATGTAAAAAAATGGCAGAAATGTAATGTTGCAATACAACACCAAAGTGTTCGACAGCAAGGACAATATTAACTTGTGCATTTAGTGAGAATAAAAGAGGCTTCTTTAAAAAGCAAGCTCTGTGTGCTGGGGTCATGGTAAATGAACGTGTTCATGGTGCGTGTGCTCCTTGTATATACTCTTTGGTTCTTTCGGTAAAGTCACGTAGAAAAATAACAGTAGATCACGATGTTTCGATCACCACACAAGCGGTCGACCTCACCTGAGGACCTCACCTGAGGACCTCACCTGAGGACGACCGCTTGTTTGGCGATCGAAATGTCGTGATCTACTATTATTTTTCTACGTGACTTTACCGAAAGAACCAAAGAGTATATATTTACTCGTTTCGATCCCGCGTGTGGTTTTACACGTGCATAAGAGTGTGCGCGCGTGTGGGTCTTCACCGTGGCCAGGTCGCTCTGCGCTAGTGTGAGCTGGCCCTCTCTAGGGCACTGGCCCTCTCCATGGGGGCCAGTTCCTTGTAACGGTACCAGAACGACCTCAATCGATACCCTTTGTTGGAGCCGTGGCCAAGCCTGGCCAAGGCAGCCTTGGGCCTGCTGGTGGCTGGGGAACACCACCACTACTTTGTAGTTGGAGGCCCAGTCCCGGTCACGCTGGTCTGCCACGTCCTGCTGCTGTTGCCCCTTGCTATCGCCGTGCCTCTGGTTGGGCTCGGTGCCCGTGTGGGGCTTCACCTCGCTCTTGCCGTGCCCCTGGCTGCTTGTGTCGGGGGTACGCGCCATTCCCCTGGCACGCGCTCACAGCGTTGGAGTGCGCGTGCTTGGGCGCCGTCGCAGGGTTCGCCGCCTTCCTGTGCGCATTCGGCTGCAATGGCACGGCGGCGGCACCACGCGTGGAGGCCTCGCTCGATTCCCAGTGCGGCGTGCAGTCCCTGGCTGGTGCCTCCCACTGAGGCTTAGTCACGTCACTGGCGGCGCCGTAATGTCTGTTGGGACGAATGGCGGTGGCCACTACGTCATCCGACTTGGCGTCCCTGAACCAGTGCAGCTCACCACCGGCGGCTGACAGCTTGCTGAGGAGCGAGTCAACCTCGGAGCGAGAGATGCCAGCCGGCAGGTCGGTCACCTCCAGCGTGGTACCCCCGCCCAGCACTGCTGTGCGGGCCTTCACAACATCGACATCTGTCAACAGGCGAGTGCTCCCCTGTCCCCCGCTCTCACACAAAGGCCAATGGGGTCCCTTTAAAATGGTATCCTAATAGGCATGTATCGATCCAATGCCCAGCGATTCTGTGCAGTGTTAATTTGACGTCGTGACAGCTTTTTATCTGTATAATTTATATTAGCGCTAAATAATGAACACTGACTCACAACATTTGATGCATTTGTCGTAAACACAATAACCAATTTTAATTGATGCATTGATGAATCGTTGAATGCCTTATCTTTAATGTCACTTCCAACTGCTGTTGTCACCAACAAATTGTTACAATCGTTCGTCAATTACGAATCGTAAATAATTCCATCACCAAGCCAATCGGGAGGTTTAAAAAATAGCTACCGTTGCTAGCGTGTGTAGCTATAAAACGTTTCAACACAATTTCTGAGAGCCTACTTTAGAAATACGTTTAATTTAAATATGACAACTGTGCCGTAGTTCTGACTTACAAAGTTTAAACACGACTATCTCAGAACTCTGTACATGGGGAGAGGAACACCGGCCGCTCGGGTAGGGAGAGGGAGGAGGGTGGTCACGGGAGGGAAACCAATGGCAGGGTCATCTGGGTCGTGCGTGGGGAGGTGCCGCTGCGTTAACCATCGCCACCTGGCTCCACGGAGCTGGCGTCCTCAGAGAGTGCTTTGTGTGGCATCCGCCTCCCTCGTCCGCCAAGTCTCACCTGATGCACACAGAATATTAATCGTTTGGTAAATCAGCGAAACGCCAAAACACTTGCCGTTAATAGTGACAACAAAATACACTCACCTGCTGCATAGACATGGAGTGTGGGGTCTGTGGCTGCAAGCTGCACGGCTGGGAGTTGTACTGCAAATGAGGGCCCAGCAGTGGATATCGGATATCGCCTGCAAAATTTAGAGCAGCTTGCTATTAAAGATTGAACTCCTCGGTTTTAAATCTGCGCATGAAGACGATAACTCTACATTGGCGTCCAGAGAGGGTGGGGAAAAAGAAAACTGTGATTGCAGTTGAACATTTTTCAATTAAGATCCCAGTGGGGATTTCTGCTCTCGTGCTGTGTTAGACACATCAGCATGCACACACGAAAGCACAGAGGCTATCACCTGAGTGTATTTCTGGTTCACAGTCTGCCTCGCAAGTCTGAACTGTACAAAATGGCACAGGCCGTGCTGCTAAGGCACTGGTGGAAAAGCCAAAAACGAGCCCAAATGGCTGTTGTTTTGTTTACTGAAGGCAAAGATAACGATACTGACATTTCATTCAAAGTGTTCCAATGGAATCCAAGTTTCTGGATGATAAAAATCCGTTACAACATTGCACATAAGTCCAAACAACTATCTCTGAATTGAGAAAGAACAACACACGGTATGACATAATGAGATTTGGTCAACTTTTGCAACAAATTTAGAGCTAATAAACTAAATAAGTTTCAGCACTTTATTAATCCACTGCTCAATGAAGCCCTCACCATGCCTTAACAGTCATGGTGGTTGGTTAGTCGACCGAACATCACCAACATGGTCAGTGTGGGTTGGTGAAGCGGAAGAAGGTGGGGGGGGGGGGGGGGTAGGACCAGTTCAGATATGACTCACCACTGATCTTAGCCATGGCTTGGAATCTAACTCATGTCACTGGGGGCACATAGCAGAGTGCAATACCTCTTCACTTGTGCATTTCGGAGCAATGATTCTCACCTATTGTAACTCAAATGTGAGCGTCGAGCAGCCAAGCTACTCTGAAAGGAGTGACTCGTTTGTTACGACAATAACGGCCGGGGCTGGCGTTATGCTCGCGCTGGTGCTCTCACCATGCATGGGCGCAATATGCCGGTGTTGCACCATGGGCAAGGGCAGGAGTCCTGAGCGGATGGAGCCCAGGGCGGCCAGCGGAGTGGAAGAGGGCGACTGCGACGGCGACAGCATGGGGCTGTGGAGGTGAGGGCTTCCCTGTGGGCAGAAAGTAGTGCACGCTGCCAGTGTTGCATTCGCGAAGGGGGCACGAGTGCGTGAGGCCACTCAGGGGGGCACATGAACAGCTCTCAGAGGTGTGATGGTTGGGGCTAGCGCGTGATGTGATTCATTAAGTGGATGAGTACATATGGGTCATGCAGCCACCATACACTCAGCATACTGTTGTGAAGATGTACAAAAAGGTACGATGATAAATAATGTTAAAGTGATGAAATAAACAAACATAGTGGCATAATTTCTGATGATGGAGAAGAAAGAGAATAATGTTGGCAGAAATAGCGTACAGAAAACATTGGGCTCCAATGGGTTGTATAAGCTTAGGCGAGTTACCCCAAATTAGGCAACTAATATATCACTTTACTTACATGAGCTGCCCTGGCCTCATTTGAATAGGGCCAAGGCTACACATGAACCTGAGTTTCTTATCCACTTGTTTTACTACAACAACTTTTCTTTGAAACCTGTACTTTGGCTGTGTTAAAAGCCTGCAGAACTGACTTGGGATTTGACTCTGTTATAACCTCATTTAGACAAATCTATTCAACCATGTGCATGGGAAAATGTACAATTTCAGACGGGCATTTAAGTTTAAAAATAAACCATGTAGTTTTCCAAGACATGTTATGCATAATAAACACACTGAATTTTTAATTGAATACTACAAAACACAAACGTCTTTGATGACATCCTATTTGACCAACTTCTGGTAGTCATGCGGGTAGAATGATCCCACATTTAACGTTGGCTCATTTCTGTAGCAGTCTAAGCTCGTAGAGAAACGCACACGTTTATTTTATCCCTCTTCAGAGTCAATAAATATACATTGTGGGAAAGCAAAAAGTGAGTGTGTTATGCAGACTCTCCCCAGTTAAGAGAATCTGGAATTTCTCCCTTCTAAACAGCAGAGACAAGCACTGCCTATTCTAAGGCACTGCTCAGAATCATAATTGAAGCTATATATAGACTCGAACCCTCCCCATAACAATAATAACAACAGTAGCTAGCAACACGTGTTTCCACTGCCCACCTGGACAGGGAAGTCGGCGTGGTTGAACTCGGCTCCCCGAGGCAGCCTCTGGTCGAGGCTCAGGCCTCGGCGTTGGCCCCAGCGCGTGGGAGACGGTGCGTGCGCTGGGTGGGCGCCACTCGGCAGACTCAGCTGCATCAGGAACACGCCATGCCCTCCCGGCGACAGACCTGGCAGTGGAGGCAGTGAAACGTCACGTACGCCGCGGTGGCGAGATGTTAACTACCTCACCTGGTATACAGAAGGTCGTAGGTTAAATCCTGACCCCAATGACTGCTGTATACGGGCAGGACCTCGGCTTACCAAGCTAATTAGTTGCTGAGGCCCGTTCGAAAGTAGAACGGTTCGTAAGTCAGAACACAATATTTCACTGTGTTTAAATGTGTTACAGTTCAACAAAAAGGGAAGCATCGTTAAACTCATAATTAAGAATAATTGTAGATTTGCATGTAACACTGTAAAATATGCTGTATAGTAAATAAAACATAAAATAAAGAAACATGAATAGAAAAAACCTGTTTGATTTTCACTTAGCTTGAGTCTCTTGATGCTAATTTGCTTGTCGGAAGGGGGGCCACAATGAGTCACCCCAATTGCACACAAACAGCGCACGCGCAGACATACACACAAACAGCACACGCGCACAGACATACACACAAAGACATACACACAAAGACACAAAAAAACCACACACACTCCAACGATTGTCTCCCCAGTGGCGATGTTTACACACCGCATTAGGTACTCATTTGATGCCGAGTCGACCTAAGAGAGGCCCAGGTCCCATTTCTCATAATCGTCACTGGTGTTGATCGTGAGAGGGAATTGAACGTCGGTCGCCAAGTAAGTAGCACAGCGAGCTAACGTTGCACTACCTCCCCCCACACACACACAAAGACTCCCTGGACTGTAGGAGCAAGTGCTGTTAGCGAGTAGCACTTATGAAGGCCGGTATGGCCAACACCATGCCCGTCTGCCTTTGTCTCCCGAGTGGTGATGTTTACACACCACCAGGAACTGGTGTTGGCCATGAGCAGCACTCCCGCTCTCCACACACTCACACTTTCACGCACACACACGCAAACAAGGCTGATTCATTACATCTTGTACAGGATCGCTCCTCTGAATAAAATCGTTCCACGGTTCAGTTTGCAATTGCGAGTTCGCTTTTCAAAGTCAATGTACATTGTTTTATTCAATGGGAGCTGGTTCGTAAGTATGGGTGTTTGTAAGTCAGGTGTTCGTAAGTCGATGACTATTTGGAGTTTGCATGTCTTTCTCCCTGTGATCGCGTAGATTTGTTTCCGGGTCCTCCGATTTTTCCCTGCACATTTGGAATCGGCGTGCGTTTTAGAGTATTTGGAGACTATAAATTTTAACATGATCAACCAATTCGTTGAGTTACCATTTGTGGCCAGGTAATTTCTGAAAAAGAGCTAAATAGCTCAGTTGGCCTTACCTGGTAACATTTGAAATAGTTTAATAGTATAGTTTAATGTATTCACGAGCATGGCGTGTGCCTTGCGATAAACGGCACATACCGCGTGCGAGACCAACGACGGAGGGTTTCGACCAAATGTATCGGCAAATGGCACGGACACAACCAAGAGCCGTGCTTGGAATTGCACTGAGAGACATAGTAACATGTGGATCAGAGAGCGTCAGCACATTTAGAATATATTTACTTTTAAGAAAGGTTGGTTGAGCAAGACAAGTCGCTCTAAGCTAGAAGTAGGTTGAGCCTAATGAAGGAATGGCACCGGAAGGAGGAAACACACCTTGGGAGGGTGTTCACGGTGGAGATGAAGGGATGAAATCCTCTCATATGCATTTGCGATATGGACTAAGTCATTTCAGGGCAGTGATGGATGGTGTTTGGTGTGTGGAGGCCTGCATTGAGCAGGAGAGAGATAATGGGTGATTATGATAACGAGCATGAGCCAAAATACCGTAGTTACATTTTTTCCGAACTGTATACTAATTTCAAGGGGTAGAGCACTGGGAGCGCTTGGCTCACAATCAAAAAGTTGTATGTTCAAACTCTGGGCTGTGGTAAATTGAGACCTTATCATGCCTCCATTAACAGCAATTGTGCTATGGAGAAACAGGGCCCCACAATGGAAATGTGGAATTCCCACTGCTGGTTCAGAGTCAGCAATGTAGGTAATATACACGCAATGATTACACTTTTAACAATTTTCTATTCCTGGGTAGTAAGTGTTATTTTCTAATTGCTTATGCTTCAAAAGTACATAAAATGGCTTATTCCCCACAAACTTTGCTTTTGTGACTAGGACAGTGATATTTATAAATTTACATATTTTCCAGAATATTCCAGATAGATTAAGTGCTGAGTAAACTTGGAGTAACTTCTAGAACATTCTAGAATTTTCCAGTAGTATAAAGTCGTCTAAATACAGGGGCCTTAAGCCCACCAGTTCAGTTTAGTTCCAGCTGCCTAAGTGGATACAGATCTGCATTTTTCTGAGATGGCATAAAGAGGCTGCAAGCATCCGGCAGATACATTTTGCTGTCTGCGGCCAATTTATTAAGACAAGTGTGAAAAAGTACTCTGTGGAAGCATCTGCTAAGATGTGTCAGGCCTACAAGGCATATTTCGGCATGCCTGTTGGGGATCAAGACAAATCCTGGGCACCTCATTTCACCTGCGAACAATGCCAAAAACACTCTGAAAGGTAAAGTTTATAATTTTGAAATGTTTTACAATTTTCAATGTTATTGAAGAAATATATCATATATGAAAAATATTGCGAGAATCTCTTCCACATTAGTCATGGGTGAAATCAAATGTATTTTTGTAGGCTGGTGCAGAAGGGAAAAAAGCCATGAGGTTCGCGATCCCAAGAATTTGGCGGGAACCCACTGACCACTCAAACAACTGCTACTTCTGCATGGTGGACCCTTCCAAACGTCGGACTGGCAAAAACGCACCTGCCATCACGTATCCGGACCTTCCTTCATCCATCGCCCTGGTGCCACACTGCCATGAGCTCCCCGTACCCACTCCTCCGGAGAGAGAGCAGCAAGTCAGAGAGCGAGGAAGACGTTGTAGATCCAGATGACAATTTCAGAGGTGGAGCTGAGGAGAGAAACCCATACTACCCCAACCAAAAAGACCTCAACGACTTGATCAGAGATCTTGGTCTCACCAAGTCCAATGCCGAGCTTTTGACGTCTCGGCTCAAGCAGTGGAACTTGTTGGATGAAAGTGTGCAAGCCGCAGATCAGAGGAAGCGTCATCAACCTTTTTTACAGCTTCTTCACCCGTCAAGATGGGCTCTGCTTCTGCCACAATGTGACCAGTCTGTTGAGGCAATCGGAATCGCCTGTAACCAGAATGAGTGGCGCCTTTTCATTGACAGCTCATCCAGGAGCCTCAAAGACATACTATTCCATGATAACAAGTACCCGTCTCTTCCGCTGGCTCACTCGGTGCACCTCAAAGAGGATTACAACAGCATTAAGACCTTGCTGGAGTATGATGAGTATGGCTGGGAGGTCATCGGAGACTTCAAAATTGTGGCATTCCTGATGGGTCTCCAAGGCGGTTTTACCAAGTTTCCCTGCAATCTTTGCCTTTGGGACAGCCGGGACACCAAGGCGCACTGCCACAGGTGGGACTGGCCACTGGTGGACCCCCGGAAGGTGCTGATGCCACCACTGCACATCAAATTGGGCCTTATGAAACAATTTGTCAGAGCTGTAGATAAGGACTCGGCAGCCTTCAAGTACTTTCAAGACTTCTTCCCTAAGCCATCTGAGGCAAACGTCAAAGCCCGTGCCTTCATCGGACCACAGATAAAGAAGATCCTGGAGTGCAATAAATTCCCCAAGAAGCTCACTAGTAAGGAGAAAGCGGCTTGTAACAGCTTTGTTGCAGTGGTTCATGGCTTCATGGGCAATCACAAGGTCGAAAACTATGTAGAGCTGTATTAATTTAGGAGCTTTCGTGACTGCAGGAATTATTCTTTGGTTCTTTCGGTAAAGTCACGTATAAAGATAAAATAATAAATTAAATAATAGCATACGACGTTTCGATTGCAACACAAGCAATCATCATCAGGTATAAATGAAATAGCAACAGAAAATCTAACCAGAAAACTATAGACAGACATATAAGCAGACAGATATCACCAAGATACATAGAGAGAGTAGGTACAGAGAGGGGGGATCGTCTCTGTGGGGTGGCCTTAAATAGACAGAGGGGGGCGGAGGCAGAGAGAGGGAGGGGTTAGAGAAAAAAATTACATGTCAATGAGTACGAAGAAGCACGTAGTAAAGTACGCAGGCTTGAATATTAGGAGAGGGAGAAAGAACACACGAAATTAAATAACCTAGTAAAATATCGAAATGTTATGTAATACAACACAGAGAGTCGGTCAACACACAATTAACGCATAGCCTGGTCGATTAGCAATCTTTGAAATACGTAATCGACTCACTTCTAAATCTGTTTTAGTAATTTTTTATTACTTTAGTATAAATGCATGTTAATTTTGATTAATATGTTGTTTTTTCTGACTTTGTTAATGAAAAAACACAAAGTCGCCCGTTTTCTCATTGAAAATAGGTACATTTCAAAATATCACTGTCCTAGTCACAAAAGCAAAGTTTGTGGGGAATAATAGCCATTTCCTATACATTTTAGGCATGAGCAATAACGAAATAACACTTACTACCCAGGAACCAAAATTGTGTTACATAGTGAAATTATTTGAGCATGGACAAATTTTTACATTTAATTATTCACTGCCAAACAGTAACAGTGCTTCTGGCCTGTATGCTGCGAGTGGGCTGTAGCAACTTTCTCATGAATGGAATACATTCAATCAAGACTTGGAATTCTATTTTATCCCACACTAGCTTTATACTACCCGGCTTCGCCCGGGACTTGGATTCTTGTCTTGGATTAATACACGGCCTACGCGGAGGGTGGGGGGGGGTGACGTCAGCAGGCACACTGCGTGACGCTGGCGCATGCGGGTGACATCATAGATGTGACGTCACCATCTATTTTTATACTTTTTGCATTGTGTACAGTCTGGAAGCTACCCACATGCCAAATTTCAAGTTTGTTGCAAGTCGGGAAGTATACTAAACATTTAGAACAGACACACATTCACAAATTTCTCTTTTACAGTGATACCTC